GCCTTTCTCCCTCTCCCCCTTCCCTACCTTTTTCTTTCCCTCCCTTTCACCCCTCCCACCCAATGTTCAGAGTGGTCTACCACCCACCCAAATCCCTCATGCCCTGGGTTATTTATCTACCACCTCCCCTAGTGGGTATCCCCTTGTTGTGGAGTAAATAACGCAAGGCATGAGAGGTGGGGGTTACACAAACTCCCCTCTTTGGTTACCTACCACGTCAAGGAGTTATYGACTGTTGTCCCCTAATGATGATAAGTCCAGCATTAACTGATGATGGTAATTATTGTAACGACCGGTGTAATTAATGTAACGATCCRTCAATCACATCGCATCATTGCAGACAACAAATCAGATGAGTCAACACAASGACAATACGRGGCATCGTGCTAGTTTCCTTTTTTCAGAGTTTTTTCATACCTTAATGTACTCRAACTCGTTCTTTGTTGATGGATCAAATGTTGTCGATGTAAACGACATCGCCATTCGTCCTGTAGTGAAGCGGCTCTTGACAAGCTTCGTATTGACGGGAACTCGTTGGCCAGCTGCATGGAGGGCCACCCTTGCCGCAGTCTGCACACATCATCAAGAGCATGCATCGCAAAAAAAAAAAAACAAAGAAGAAGAAGAAGAAGAAGAAGAAGAAGAAGAAGAAGAATGAAAGAAAGAAAGAGCTGAAGATCAGCAGAAGGAAAAGCCAGCAGTTTGAAGCGATAGAAGAGTTCAAGGAAATGCCACAAAACAAAGTGCTGGCTTATTTACATGTTCGTTACTCATCATTGCTGAAACAGAAAAGAAAAATCTTCAAAAAAGTGCATTCTTTGCGGTTCAGAGTCTCAGACTACATTGTATGCTTGTAGCATTTTGAAAGAACATGTATAACTAACAGTACAAGATTACCGTACTCGTTCCTATAACACTTTTTATAACACTTCCTGTTCTTCTTGCTATAGATCTTTCTATAGCACTTTTAAACACCACTTCACATTGCAGTTTCTAACCTTTTTATAGCACTTTTTGCGCGGCTTCTTATAGCACTTTTAACAGATGTCTTTATAGCGCTTCGGATAGCTCCGGTTAACCAGGGTGGGTAACATGTTTCCGGCCCCACTTGACCAGCCCGGTGACAGTTTGCCTGGCACAGTTAACCAGGGTGAAACGTTCCCTCACTGGTCCATTTAATCAGGGTAATACTCTTTTTACTGCCCCATCTAACCAGGGCGGGTACCACTTCGCCTGCTCCACTTACGCACGTTGACATTTGGCCTGCTCAAATTAACCAGGGTCACACGCTCCCCACCCCATTTGACCAGGGTAATACTTCTTTGACTGCAAAGTTAAACCAGGGTGGGTGACACTTTCACTGCTCCCTTTAACCAGGGTGCCAACATTTTGCCGGCAACATGTAACCAGGGTGGGTAACAGTTTTCCCGGTCCATTTGGCACAAGTGCGATCGATACTTGCTCTGCTTCTCCCTCTTCCCACCCGTGATCCCTCTCTCTTCCTCTTCCCTCTCTAGAGTCTCTACCCTTTCTCCACACTTTTATCCACCTTTTTCAAGTTTTTCTTGCATTTCCCATCCTCTCCGTAACTTCAACAAAACGCCTCCTATTCCATATTTTTCTTCCCCTTGCTTCTCTCTTCCTTCCCCCTTGCTYCACCCTGTCATTCACTCCCCAGGAATTCCTCCTTCCCCTCCCCCSTTCATTCCCCGGCTCCATCCCCCACCTCCTTCACACTTTCCTCCACCTTCCTCTGAAACGCTTGACCTTCCATACACTCGCACACTCTCACGTACACTCATCCTACCCGATGGGCCCACTTGACCTCAAAAAAATTCAAGAATTTCACTCTCACCAACCTTAGCCGGGTCAGAGGACTTCGCCGCACCTGCACTCCTGCCATAGACTGCAGCTGACGCCATGTCCACGATGCTCAGAGCAGGACCGCTTCCAGTGTTTGTGTTTGCCACGCTGCTTCCAGAAGCTTCAGTCGCCCCTTTTCCACGCACCGGTTCCTCCTTGCCTTGCTCTTGCTGCCCTGTTTCATTTTTCTTCGTTTGGCTCAATGACAARGCTGCAGCTCTCTCCAGCCTTGCTTTKTCACCACCCCCACCAGCAGCTGCCAGCTTTCTTCCCTGTCATGGGACAACAGAAGAGACACAAAGGTTACAAAAAATGATTATAAGAACACCCTTGCCTCCCTGAGAGACAGAGAGACACAGAGAGACACAGAGAGACACGGAGAGACACAGAGAGACACAGAGAGAGACA